GACCAGGTTGGTGAGCCATTTCCACCATCCTTCTGCTGTTAAGCCTTGTCTTAACTTTTGTAGATTTTTTTTATGTCTTTCAATAAACTCTGAATAATCTAAAATAAAATAAAATGGAGGAAGACATGAGATCGTATTTATGTAATATGGTCACTGGTAGTGAGTAACACAGGTTTGAATGCACTATGAGTAACACAGGTTTAAATGTACTACTCATAAATATGTGTCAACTCTGCGTGGGACAGTTGAATGGGAAGAAACTTTTGAGTCTTGAGGATTGATTGAGGGCTTTCCAGGCAGGTGTGAGGAAAGAATATTCCAAACAGGGACAACAGGACAGAGAGAAGTCTGCAGACATGGCACAGCCCCCTTATGTCTTCGGAATTGTCAGTCATATGGAACAGCTAGACACGGGTGGTAGCCATTGTGAAGGGGGTTGGCTTTCTCCCGCAGGATTATAAACAGAATGTGATAAAGAGTGAAAAAATGTCTCTCCAGGCCTCTGTGCCTGAAGGAGATGAATTCCTAATGTAGGACAATATCAGTGTGAGTGGGTAAATGAAGTTTACGTTGAGTTTAAGTAAGATTAGATAATCAAGTGTTTGTTGTTTTTTGAGACAGATCTTACTCTGTACCCCTGGGTAGAGTGCTGTGGCATCATCATAGCTCACAACAACCTGTCTTTTGGGAGCAAGAGATCCTCTTGCCTCAGCCTCCCAAATAGCTGGAACTACAGGCACCCACCACAATGCCCAAATAGTTTTTCTGTTTTTAGTGGAGACAGGGTCTTGGTCTTACTCAGGCTGAGCTCAAGCAATCCACCTACTTTGGCCTCCCCAAGTGCTAGGATTACAGGTGTAAGCTACTGCAACCAGTCAACAATCAAATGACTAACAAGAGTTTTGATACTTGAAGGCTATTTATGAAAACAAATGAAATAATAGATTTGAAAGCTTGTATATTATCATATCTTTTCCACAATTTGATTCTGAACATGAATAATGAATCTCAAGGTCCCTACGTAGCAGGAATATTCCAACTGTTGGGCCAAATGACAGTATGGCAGTGGCAGCATCCAGTTGATACTTCTCTGCCATCTCTTCTGCTCCCCATCTCACAATTAGTGAGATGCCTTTTGTTTTAAACCAAACAGTGAACAGTATATGAGTTAACTTTATAACCAGTTGCTCAAAATAGCAGAATAGTAAAAAAGAGTTTTAAAGCTAGAATATAAACTTGATTCCCTCATTTTACAGAAGAGTCAGCTAACACTCTGATCATCTAAGATTTATTCAAGAGCAACTCCAAGACAGCTGTGTGATCATGTGTCTTGAAAATTGCTGGAGCTTTTTGCTGCCATTCTAGAGGGTATGGATTCATGGTTATGCTTATAACTGGCTACTAGAAAGAAATTTATAATCCAGAGTCCTTGTAACTCAAGGAAAATCCCTTCCACAGAGGCACAGGGAGATCCAATGTTGGTCCCATGTTCCCTCCTCAACCAGCAGGCCAGTCAGTGGCTAGGGATATTCAGCTTTTCCAACCCCAAACTTCCTACTTTTAGGGCCAGAAATTTTTGTCTCCTTGGTAAACAAACAGTCTTTCTCCATGCCTGAGAAATAAAGGCACTCCATTTGAGGATCTTATTATTGCACGAGGCAATTCCAACAAGACTGATGTGAAAATTACTAGTCAATCATTTCATCCTCCGTAGCAGAATTCAGGTCAGAAGCAGGGCTGAATTCCTCACTCTGAATACTCAGGATTGCTTATCGTCTGTGGTGAGTCTTATCATGTGTGATCATGGGCTCTAGCTGTTTCTGTACAAGTGGCCAACTGTCCTCTGCTAAGTCAAGGTCTGTGCAGTTTCCTCAGATCTCATCTCCATAGTGATAATTTTTCTTATCTTGAACATTATTCATCCTGTGTTCCAAATTAGCAGGGCCATCTTAGAACAAAGTGGATGGTAACATGTTGTGGCTGGGGAAGGCCCATGGGACTCCTGGCACCCCTCCTCTGTGTCCCTGAGCCTCATAGGAATTTATGTGCCATGGGTCAGAGGCAAGGTGAGGATGGGACCAGAGAGTACAGAGAACAGATGAGAACAATGCTGCAATGGGGCGGCCAGCTCACCAGTGATAAAGTTTGCTGTGGCTTCCACACTACTTGTTTCTAGTCTATGATACGTGTGTGGTGACATCCAAGTGGATAAAATATCTCTGGTCCCACTCTTGACTTCCCATTGAGATCAACTCGAACTTACACCAAGAAAGAACTTTTTATATAGTTACAACAAAATCCTCCAAGAATAAAATAGACTTTAAATTTCCCTTATTGCATCTGTCGAGCTAGCTTTTGGGGTGTTTCTTTATAAAATGATATTCACTCTTTTTTTTTCCATGAAAGATCCCTTGTGGTTACTGGATATTGGTGTCTATTTCTTACTCCCTTCCAGTATAAGTTTTATTTGAAATTCTCTCTTCCTTCCTGGCATTGCATTGAAATTTTCTTGTGTGCACATCTCAGGAAAAGAACATTTCTTACCAAACCTTAGCCAATGCTACTGCTCTTTAGGTTTCTATTTCCCTTCTAAGGGCTTGGCAGAACTGGAATTGTCAAATTCACATACATGTTTCAAAGGAGAAAAGGTATGATACTGAAGCAGAATATCCTAACTGTATATGCAAAATCTGCTCTGCGCTCTTGAAATGCAAGTCAGAATGGAAGGACCGATAGAGGCACAAACACAAAGGGACATTCAGGTGACCTGTAACATGAGTAACTGCTCAGCCACCAACTTTGCAGGGAGAGTCACTGAGCCAAAAACTACTGTGTATATAATTTTCGTGGCTATGAAAGTGTTTAGCAAACATGCCACTAGATTTTCATTCCCTTTTTTCATATCATTTGGAAGCAAAGTATTAAAATTTCTCTGATGCTTTCCAAATCTGTGAGTGAAATGTCACTGGTAAGGAGGTTTAAAGAAAACAGAAGTATCTAATCTAATTAACTCTAATTCACCATTTTCCTTTTGCTTACTGTAAATTATCCCAAGGCTTAAACAATTTTAAAATTTGTATATGTCCCGGGAATGTAATTAATTACCTAAAAGCACGTGAATCTCAGCAAGATACTTTGTCAGATTATCTCATTTTACACACGGTCTTTCTATCCCACCAATTTTCCTTGGTTTCTGATTTCACCGAGTTGGGATTAAATCAGTGTATTCCTCCCACTGCATAATTTAGGGCTGCTTTAAAACGATGTAATTACAAACCTCAGTGGCAGATCGTGAATCGCATTCGCTGTCATGACTGCCATTAGCATGGTTTCACGTTCTTTCAGAACAGTGGGGTAGAGATGTCATGTCAGTAAGTTCTACTACTGTATGTCTGCTATCGATTATTCACAGCAGTGGTAGACTTGGATGGGATCCAAAACCAGACACAAAACCTGGGAGAATGCCAGTGGTTTGTGACGCTAAAGAAATTTTTAAGAAAAAAAAGTGCTTTAAAGCAATAAGACTAGGTGAAAGATTTAGTATAACATTATAGAGTTAGTATTTGGAGACTTCATGGGTTCAGTCCTAATCTATTGGTCTTCCTGAAGGAGAAGAAGAGAACATTATGGATAGTTACCTATTCTTATTTTGATAACTTTCTACAGAGTGAAATGAAAATACTTTATAAAGGTTTTCCAAAGCCTTATTTGACATTTGCTGTGTTCACATCCATTGCTCTTTCAGCCTATAATCCCCTCCTTACCTTGAGTTTCTTCTCTACTTCAGGTTCTCAACTCCCTCAACTCCCTTTACCTGAATCTAGAGATGGTAGCTCCATATTGTAACCTCTTCCACATCCGTGTGGGTGAGATTTTGGTCGCATACTTTCCAGTTTTAAATACACAACGACCAAGTCTTTTCATGCTTAAAGAAAAAAACAAGTCCCACATCCTCCTAATGTAAGGTGGTCATAGTCTCCATATAAACAATTTCCTTTAGAGTTAGGTTTTGGCATGTAGACACTCCTGTGTCCAACGGTTAGCAATGTTATTCTGCTGGTACCTAAGCCTCCTTTATTTATTCAAATTCATTTCAGCCATCTCCATCACATAAACAGTTGACACGTTTTGCTACTTTACAAACAACTAATTTGAAACAAAACTATAGCCTCGCTAAATATACGTGTACAAATGAAGAAGCACCAATTAAGATCCTATTTGTCATTTCCTAAAAAGATACACATTTTAATCAACATAATTTCCCTTCCATGCATTTCTGGATGTTTGTGAATAACCTGAATTGTGGTGGGAAAAATCCCAGTGCCTCCTAAGGAGTACAATAACTCTCTTGTAATTTGCCCAAGGCAAGTGGCATTCCTTTACTCGTTTTTTTCTTAAAGCCCATAATAAAAGCAAACAGGTAGAGTTTTGTTAACAATCTTCAGATTGGTAGATCTAAAGGGTTTGAAACTAGATAGATGCATACTTTAGACCAAAGAAATAAGCTTTTGAAACAATGGGGGTGGGGAAAGCTCCCCACCCCTATAGTTGAACAAAGTAAGAGAGTTCAGGGCAGTTGTTTATTTTCAGATAATCATTAGTAAGGTTAACAACAGATACTGAAAAGAATGTATCGCCAGCATTGTGACTTACTGTAAGCTATGAAAATGCACCGAAGTTAAAGGAGACTCTGGGAGTAATGAATTAGTACCTCTGTCTCCCTACCTAGAATTTGGTTAGTAAATAAGGATATCTGGCTAACTGGTTCCAGCCTGGGTGTTGCTGGTTTCTGGAAACTTTCTCTTTCCTGCAGCTTTCCAATGATAGCTGTTATGCTGTGTGGCAAATGATTAACTCTGTCACCGCAGACTTTGCATGCCTGCCTTAAGTATGATGGGTTTCAGTCTTAGAACAGAAAAAAATACAAGTCACCTGAAGTCCCACAGTGCAACAGTTTTAATAGTTCACACTAAAATAGATGGTACAGTTTGATAGTTCCACGTTAAAAGCAATCCTGCTTTACTTTAAAATGCTTCCAATTAATGCTGCCCCCCCCCACTTCACTTCAGAGATAAGTCTGTGGAAGTATCTCTAAAGTACATTTTTCAGGCTTTAAAAACAGCACTGTGGTTTGCGATCCGCAAAGTCCTGAATAAGAGCTTGCTTTCCTCAATTGAGGGGCTGTGGAGCTCAAGTCGAGTTTACCATCTCTGCGAGAAGGACCCTTCTCCTTCCCAATGGTGACACGAACCAGGAGCCCAGGCCCCAGATGAGCTTTTGAAAAAATTAATTATGCCCAACCTCCTCAGCGGTAGGCATCTTTTCTTACCACAAATAAATATTTAATGCATCCTTGAGTCATGAATTATTGAAAGCTCAATTGACACTTCAATTCCCAGAAAAAAATCATAGAGGCACTGTGTGAATACTCTGAATTTGGCGAGATTAGACACACCAAATACAGGAGCGGGTCCGAAGTCTCGGGTTTTCAGAACTGGGGGCGGGGAGGGGAGTGCTGGGAAGAGCGACAGCTCGGGAGCCTTGGTTATTGCTTGTCCTCGTGGGGGTCCCCCGGGAAGCCCCCCTCCTCCGGCGACCTGACTCCCTCTGGCAGCAGCGTGGCGCGCGCTTTCCTCTTCTCCTTAAAGCGGCCGGAGCGTGAGATCTTCAAATTGCGGCGGCTGTTGCCTGATTTCTCCCCACACAGCTTGTCTGGCTTGGGGGGTTCGCCGGCGCACCCGAGGAGATTGGGGTGCTGGTTCTCCCGGGAGCTGCTAGTCCAGTCCGGGTTGGGCGGCGCGGGCTCCTCGGAGGCGGGCTGGGCTGCAGGCTGCGCCCCCACCGTGGCTTCCTTGCTTTTCTTCCTGCTGTTCGAGAGCGATTTCCACCAGGGGCCAGAGCTGCCGGTGCCGCCGCTGTCGGCCATGGCCGGCCAAGGGGCCGCGGCGCCCCGGCGGGGAAGGGACTCGGAGGCCGCCCCTCTCCGCTGGTGGCTTCCGGCCGTTCACTCCACCTTCCCCGGCCTCTCCCACGGGGGCTGCGCGGTGGGTGCGGAGGCAGCGCCCAGTGCTGGGGAAGAAAACAAAACTTAGTTACCGGCTAGGTCGAAGTCACGTGCCCTCAGTCCCATTTCCTCTCCCGCACTCCGCCTGGCACCGGGTCGAGCCGGGTCACAGTGACTGGAGCCCAGAGGATAACCCCCGCTGGGTACCGCTGCGCCCCAGGGTGCGGCTGGACGAGTGCTATCCAGGGCGCCAGCACTCGGTCTCCAGGCTTAGCCCTGAACTCCAGGCCTCGACCTTTGCCCTGCCTCCAGGAGTGCAGTGGTCAGCGCACCAGGGGCGCCCCGGGACGTGCCCGGCCATCTGGATCACCCTGGCTACAAAGAGAAAATGGCCGGTCCACACCGCCTGCCTACAGACAGACGCCCGAAGGTGACCCACCCGGCCATAACGGTCTCACTTGGGATGCACCTGGGAGTGGAAGGCTGGGAACCCAGCGCGTCCTCCCTACAGGTAAACAGCGCCTACTAGACCGCAAACACTCGCGAAATTCCTTCCGAGATTTTCCCCCATCGACTTCCGTCGCAAGATCCTTTTCGACGAGATACTTCGGAGAATTTATATCCCAGTGTAGGAGAGGGACAAGCCCATGCTCTTTTAAACTTTTCCTTTAACTAAACACTTGTGATTTCAGAGAAGCGTGCCTAGACTTAACTTCCTTGGAAACCGCAGTCCTACTCTTCCTTTTACTCCCCAGAGACCAATCTTACGTCTTTGTGAAGTCACCCCCAGCTGACTGTTGAGACGAGGCCAAGAAGTAAATGCCCTCCTCTTAGTTCTTTATAAAAATATGCACCAAGTCGGTACTACGCAACTCTGGAGATTTTTAGTTACAAATTAAAGGCGTCTGGTTTGTTCCTTGTGCAATTCCTCCCTCCAAAGGCGAGAGAATGTAAGCAGACACTTCCAAACAATTTGTTTTTTTCTCCAAGCTTTCAACACCCTCTCTGCGGAGCGAAAAGCCGCTTATTAGCCCCTAGGTGCTAATACTGTAAGCGAGACTATGTCCTCTTTCCGTGCGGGTCTACTGGGCGCGGCCGCCAGGAATGTGCAGATTCGCCTGCGCTGCGCGCACTTCCAGGTTCCCGCTCTGCCCCTTCCAGCCCACGCGCCGGGCGCTCCCGGGATTGGCGAGCGCGCTCGGGAGGGAAACTTCGGCGGTGTTTGCTGTTGGAGGTTCTCCTCCCGGAACCGCTGGGGAAAGGAAGTCTGCGCGCCTGCGGCAGGCAGCGCGTAGTCCTCCGCAGAGCCCCGAAACCGCAGCCAGGACGCCCCGAGGACACACACACACACACACACACACGGGCCAAAAGCTCTTTGGGTGCAGAAGACACCCACGCCCTCAAGCACGGCAGTTAGGTTTGCAAACGTCCTATTCCCTCCTACGGTGCAGATTGGAAAAGCACGCCCTTCTCCAAGCTATTTACTAGTAGTGGGGGTAGGGTGTCTTGACGCCGCTTGCTGTCCTCTAGCCCACACTTTCTTCCCCACGGTTATCAACTTGTGTGCACGGGAGAGTTCTGCAAGATTGCTTAAGGGAAACAGGGTAACCCCGCAAATATACAGAGAACGCAGTACTGAAGGGCCTGCGGCTTGCTGTTTCTCCTAAGGTGCCGGGAGGCCGGGGACCCGGAGGCACGGGGCTGGCACCCCAGGGTGACACTCCAATGCCAGGCTCTGTCTTGGCCGACGCAGACCTACCCCTAGTCGCTCACCTGCTGGGGTTTCCCAGGACCCCGCGGCCCCCGGCGGAGATCGCGGCCAAGCACGCGATGGGGCGCGCGGGGTCAACCTGGAAGCGAAGCGGACAGGGAGAGATCCAGCTTCTGCGAAGTGTACCGGTCGCAAATCCCCGCAGCGGCCCGCAGCACGGCTCAGCCAAGTGCGGCTGCCGGTCTCCGCTGGCAGCTCCAACTTCTGCGCGCTGCGGCCGCAGCCGGGGACTCGCGGCGCGGTCTGTTGTGGTCCGAGGCGCTGCTGCAAGGGGCTGCCAGACTCTCCGCCCCAGGTGAGTGCCCAGGCAGGCTCTCCGGGTTAGCAGCTTTTCATTCTCCGGCGCGTCCCTCTTCCCTACTCCGGAGCCGCGGAGAGATGGGAGCCCGGCTGCTCAGTCTGGAGCGTTGAACCTTCCTACGCGTCCCTAGGAACGGGAAAGGGCATCTGCCCACCTGCTGGTTTTTCGCCAAGTGATTCGAGAAACCAGAACCCCAGGGCATCAGGGGGAGGAGGAAAAAAAAAAAAAAAGACCCAGGAGGCGGCCACCGCTGCCACAGGTGCAGGTAGGAACTTCGTGTTCCCGCCCTCCAGGGGACGAGATTGGATCAGGTCGCAGACGTGGCGCCAGCCTTGAGTTGCCTGATTGGAGAAAAGCTGTGCAGCGCCGCTCGCTCGGCAGACTCTGCCAGGAGAAACGGTGGAGACCGCAGACCTGGAGACCAAGGCTGTAGACCGGCTCCCCTGGATAAACGTCGCCTTGTCTCTCGCTCTGCTCCACCCTGACTTTTCCTCACCTCCCTCCCACTGCTTTCTGGGTACCGGGGTCCCATGTTTGTAACTCAGAGATCCGATTCACACCCATGCAAAAATGTTTGTTTCAGGCCCCCTTAATTGAAGGGCTGTGACATTATTCGGAAGCTTGCTGTGTGCCAGCCAACGTTGTTCCAAGCGTTGGCTGTGCATTAATTTATTTACTGCGCACGACAACCCTAAGAGGTAGGTACTCCTGCTCACTTTACAGGTGAGGAAACCCTGGCGCAGGGGTTGAATGGTTCTTTGGGGTCGCCCCTCTGGTACACGTCAGAGCGGAGTTGGAATGCGGGAGGTTTGACTCCAGCTTCCGCGGTGGAAACCACCATGTTATATCGCAGCCTGCTAGTCACGGCCTCTTCACATGGGCGAGCAAGGGTGTGAATTTACTTCTTTCAGGTCTGGAAGGCTATGGACAGCCACCCCACCAGGGAAGTGTAGATCCAGCTCTGAGCCACTGCAGGAAGTGAATCAGGGGATTGTGTCAGGGTTGAAGAGATCTTTGCTCCTGGTCACATGATGGTGCCTTTTATTTGTTCCACAGAAAGATACTGGCCCAGAGGTGCAGCATGCTTTATCTTTTCCAAAGAACTATTTTGATGTTCCTTGAACTCATAGACAAGCATGGGTATGGAGCAACTGATGTCTGAGCCGCTTTACACTGAGGACTTTCTGCAGTGTGAATGGAAGGAGAGACACGCGGCCTAATTCACATATCTTGCAGTATAAAATAGGTAGAAATAATTTTATAGAGTATTTTAATGCATAAAGAAAGATGAAAACACGAATACTTATACACAATGAGCTGGGGGTTCTTTGAATTTTTATTCCGTGCATGGCAGTGTGTGTTTGAAAGTCATGCATTTTAATGTATTTCTTGCGATTAGTTTTAAAGCATAAACATTCAGTTCATAGCACCAGAATTAAATAAAGACAGGCCACCCAATGAGACAATTCATGATAGCACCAGTATTTTATAGGGGACAGCTCTTGTCTGAGGTGCCATCACCACTAGGAAGTCATGGAGCTGGGTTGTTACATTGTTTGTTGACCATATGGGTAAAGGAATGAAAATATTTAGGAAAAGAAAATAATTACTAGTACTGCCAAATGGCCTCTCATTGAATGTGATTTTAACAAAGGAGCCAGCATATTCTTAATAAATAAACCTCGACTAACTACTGAAAATATTTTTAAAAATTGCTTTTCTTACATCACACCCTTCTACCCATTTATATTTAACAACTTCGAATGTTAAAAAGTTGTGTGTCATTGATTTAATGACAACACCTTACAAATAACCCTTGCATGCAGTGATGACATTGATGTGAGACATAGAAATTGAGGAAAAATTAGCTGAGGTGGGTGATGGGTGAACATTGCAGGCAGAGAAAATATAACACGCTTCTGCCCTGGGGTGTGAAGGAGTTGAGGGTCTAGAAATGCCAGGAGCAGGCCAGCCTGATCCCAGTGAGAAGAGTGGGCTGAAGCAGGCAGATCTGAAACAGGAAGGTGGGTGTGACCAGACTGCTCAGGACCTTAATCCACAGAAGCCGGGTAACTTGACAAGATTTGCATTTAAATGCCACTAGAGCTGTGTGTAAGGAGGGAATGATAGAGGGGACAGATGGGATAACTAGGCAACCAGTTAGGAACTGCTGGAGTAAGTACTCAGATGGGATATTCTGGTTGGTTGTAGGACAGTGGTGGCAGTAATAAAGTGTGTGCATGTACTACGCATGAAGAGAATTAGGGATGTTGATGGTAGATTAAACAGGGTACTATTTTATTTAATTCATATAAAAGAGGAGACTGAGTTGGATGAGAAGCTAAAAAGGGAAATACTTTCACAGCGTTTCTTGCAGACAAGAAGTGGCTGTGTGATCCAATTTTGGCTTATGAGGCTGTAAGGAAGACTTCTGGAAATACTTCTTCCCTAGAACCTTCTGAAAAAAGAAGGTATTTTGCCACATGTTTGATTCTTGCATTTAAGCACAGTATGAAGATGTGATGTCTGGTGTCACAGCAGCCATCTTCTAATAGTGAGGCAATCGGCATGGGAATAGGAGGCAATGTGCCAAGGGTGGTGGCACAGGAGTATGAAAAGTGTCTGGGTTCTTGATGATATCTCTGAGCACCTGAAAGAACCCTACCTATAGACTTCTAGCTTAGTAAGAAAACATATGTCCCAATGATTTAAGCACAGATTTAAACACAGTTTTCTGTTACTCGCAGCCAAATGCCTTCTTATCTTATACAGACTAGTTTGGTTATAGGAAAAAAATGATACTGTTCAAAAGGGGAAAAGGTAGTATTGCCACATTTATTTTTATTTATTTATTTTTATTAAATCATGGTTGTGTACATTAGTGTAATCATGGGGTACAATGTGCTGGTTTGACCTACAATTTGAAATGCTTTCATCAAACTGGTCAACATAGCCTTCATAGCATTTTCTTA